TTATTTTCCTACTTGAATTGAATTGAAGGAATTTTAATAAGTGGGGCGGTTATTGATAAATTTTACAAAGCTTGGATTAACTTTAAAATTAGAGATAAGCTGGCATTTAGTTAATTATAAGTTAGTTAATTAGATTCAATATTGTTAAATTGGTTCTTAATAAATTTTATAAAGTTTGGATTAGATTTAATATTAGAGATATACTGGCATTTTAGTTGTTTGTTATTTAGTTAATTAGATGTAATAATGCTATTTGGTTTTCGATGAATTTTACAAAGCTTGGATTAAATTTAAAATTAGAGATATACTGGCATTTAGTTATTTGATATTTAGTTAATTAGATGTAATATTGTTATTTGTTTTTTTTTAAATAAAATTTTCAAAGTTTGGATTAGCTTTAAAATTGGAGGTGCACCGGCATTTAATTGATTAATATTTAGTTAATTAGATGTAATATTATTGGATTGTTACTACATGAATTATTCGTGATCATTTTGTTCTTATATATATTAAGATTCAATTAAAGGTACTATAAAATTAAATATCTATCGCGACTTTTTTTTCATTTTGAATTATTTTGTCAATTTATTATTTGTTGAGAATATAAATTTTACATTTATGAAATCTTGAGAATATTAATCAAAAGAATTATTACGACGTATTCAGCGATAACTAAATTATTTGTCACTAATATTATATTGAAATAGTGATTTTAATCGATGAAAGGTTAGATTATAAGCAAATTTCATTCAAAAGGATGGAAAAGAAAAACTCAAATAAATTAATAATTATGACAATTGAAAAAAGAAAATAAGAAAATATGAATAACCATTTTTATTTTTTTTTTAAAATAATAAATAATAAGGTAGTTACTATTGTCGGGAGTTTAAGCAATGAGGCATGTGGATATTATAACTTAATAAAGCATATAATATAATATATAATTATATTATGGAGGACTTGAATAAAAATAATATAAAAATGATAGGAGTAGAAGGGGATGAATCATTCTCTATCGAAGAAAGTTATAAGTTAGTGGAAGACGTGCTTGCAACTCTTATTTTCTCATATGCCACGTAATTGTGCGTTCGATTTAAAAGAAAAATATCATCTTAAAAATATTTATATATAATTTAAATAAATATCAAAAAATAAGGATCAATGAAGGCTATACTATTAGGGTAAATATATGATGTACACTTATTTTCCTTGAAAAAATCATTCTTTTATTTTTAAGAAATTTATGTTTTTAAGGAAGTATTTTTAATTTTTTTCTATGAGAAGATTGAAAAATATGAAAACATCTCTAGTCTCTGACTATTTGCTAATAAAATATTGAAATTCAGTCAAATGGCTCTTAATATGTGCAAAAACATGAACCAAAATGGAATTGTGGACAACAATAAACAAAGAAAAGGATTTTTTTATTTATTTATTAAAGTTCGATTAAATTTAATTTTAATTAATATATTTTTTTATTTTCTCCTTCTTTGTTTCGAATTATCGGCCATGTTGTAAGAGATTATTTATAAGTGAAGTGGCTTTTATCAACAAAGAAAAGTTTAGTACAATTATTGAATAAATATAAACATGATTTTTTGAGAAATTAATTCGATAGCCAATGTAATTAATCTATTAGGAAAAAAGTACTCTAAACCAAAATTCAAGTACTCTTGTACTAGATGATATTTCAATCTATTTTTGCTTTACAACAACTACATAAAATATATTTTTTTTTAATAACAAGTGACGGTAAGGGTCCCATGCAAAATCGTCTTAATTATTATATTATATATAATACATTTCAAAATTGTCTTAATTATTTCATTTTCCTTTTTATTTTCATAAGGTTTGGTTAATTTTATTTTTTAAAATTAATATAAAAAATGGAGATTTCAGAAGCTTGATACATGTTTGACCACCATAACAATGTTAGCCTTGCCGTTATTGTTTCAGAGGATTCATTGTGCTCCTTTGAGGCTTTAAGGGTGAGATTTGGGTGTGTTCTCACGTAGAAAGGTCGCGTTGTCGTGTCTCAAACTCATAATTCAAAGATGATAACAATAATTTTTGCACGATGAGACAATACTTATACAACGAATCAAATGAGATATTTTTATATAAATGACAAATTAAAGGCGTGAAGTTTATGTTCAACCTGAAAGATTTGATATTTTACATTGATGGGTTAAATTACTGAATGTACATTGTGTGTCTCGTTAAAATCACATAAACTGCTCTATATTCTATAAGCTGAATACTATGCTCTCTTGACCTAACAAAACTGTTAATCTCAACATTGTATACAGAGACACAGAATGGTTTTTTTCTATAACAATACTGAAATGGATTTACACACAAGTTTTCTTTGTCATCCAACGAGGGAACGATGTCTTGTGTAAGTCTCAAACTCCACAACTATCAAGTTCCCCAAACATACGTGAAGCCAAGTAGACCGAATGATAATGCAGTTTCTGCTATTAGTTGAACTTAACAGTAACTCAGGAGATGCACCCCATAAATGCACAACTCAGCCAAAGCAACCCGCCTTTGTTGGAGCTTCAGTCTTCCATAACATGCTTTCTTTTGCAATGAAGTATCAACTGTTCTTGACGGGAAACATCCATGTTTTGCTGCTGATTGACCACTGGTTATCTGCCTTGTTGATATCAAGAGCAATAGGTTCCAACAATTGTATGAGTTGACAGACATGGATCAATTGAATTCCTCCTATACTGTAGCTGTCATTCAGAGTTAAGGAAGCATTCAGACCCTTACAAAATCGGTCTGTATAATATAACTAACTCTTAAGTAGAATACTATTATCAATTTGGCATGCCGTACTTCTGTTTTGGACATTGTGTCTTGTCACGTATGTACCCAGTGAAGAGCAAGGTATTTCAAGTGTCTCTAAAGGTTGAAAACTCACTTTCAGCACATAAAGATGAAATTATTGAGATTGTCAATTGTCCAACTTCTCGAAATTTTGGTTGAAACAAGAGTCAAGACAACAGATTGGCAAATAAGAGGATGGTTTGAAGAAGACAGACAAATTTATGACTGGGTTTCCAAGTAGATAACGTACTCAAACACCATCCGTTTATTTTTTGTGCCCTTCTACACTCTGGTTTCAATTAAGCTATAACTCAACTCTTTCTTCAAATTCTTCTCATCCTTGAGTTGCCTCAACTGTTTGACATCTTTCCATCTGCCCTGCTCTGCGTATAGGTTTAATAGAAGAATCTCAAATTGGCTCGTATTTTATGGGTCTAACGCAATAAGCTGTTTAGAAACAGTTTCAGAGATTTCAACTGATACACGAGTCTTTCTACAAACAGCAAGCAGAGTTCCCCATATCCTCTTATCAGGCTCAATAGGCATGTTGTTGACGAATTCAAAAGCTTCTTCTATATTGCCTTGACGACTAATCATATCAACCATGCACGCATAATGTGCAAGTTTTGGAGTAACACCGAATTGCTCTTCCATAGCATGAAACCAGTTCCACCCCTCATATTCAAGACCACAATGACTGCATGCAGATAGAACAGAAACGAAAACAATATCATTTGGTTTTATCCCTGAGTTTAACATGTCTGAGAAACACTGAAGAGCTTCATTTCCATGCCCATTTATTCCATAACCATTTATCATTGAGCTCCAACAGATAAGATCTTCGTTAGGACATTCACTGAAAATTGCCTCTCCTTGGCTTATGCGTCCAAATCTGCAATACATGTCAATAAGTGAGGTTATCAAAAATGCATTGGATGTATTTCCTGATTTTATGACTTGTGCATGTATCCCTTCTCCAATCACTTCAGCAGTGATCGAAGAACAAGCCTGTATTAAACTAACATAGATGATCTCATTGGGCTTCTCATTTGCTGATTGCATCTGTCGATATATATCAAATGCATTACTAGGACACTCACTTTGGGCATATGCTGCAATCATGGTACTCCAGGCAATAAGATCTTTTGATTTTAGGGGATCAAACAGGCTCCTAGCCGACTCGATATCAGCAAAACCGCCATACATGTGAAGGAGAGCAGTCACTACTGAAACACATCCCAGAAATCCCTGCTTGAGCGCGAAGCTGTGAAAACACTGTCCAATTTTAATCTCATCCAATTGTGACAATGCCCCAATCACTTCACGAATAACACCCTCATCCGGTTCAAAGCAACAACACCTCATCTCAGAGAACAAGCTCAAAGCCTCATTGAAACAACCATTTTCTACGCATCCATGAATCATACTCCTCCATGAAACAGGATCCTTCTTCTCTATTCCACGAAAAACAGTAATGGAAGCCTTCAAACTCCCACATTTAGCATACATATCCACAAGCGAATTTTGGATATTAACATGTGATATAGACGGAACTTTTATTGAATACGCGTGAATTTCTTTTCCAATACTCAGAGCACCAAGATTGGCACAAGCAGGGACAATTCCCACAATGCTAACATAATTTGGCTCCACACCACAAAATTGCATTTCCCTGAAAATCTCAATAGCCTCAACGTACTCTCCACTCTTGACACAAGCTGAAGCCATTGCACTCCACAAAATTACATCTTTCCACTTTGTGTGATTAAACATTTGCCATGCAGTATCCATATCCCAAATAGAGTAAACACCAACAAGAGCCGTTACAACAGGTAGTTCAATTTCAAATCCCATTTTGATAGTAAACCCATGAATTCCTCTCACCATAGGCTGCCATTTTTCGGCAGCTCTTATAACACTTAAAACTGTAACATAATTGGGTTTCTGTTCATCTTTTAGCATTGCTTTGAACAAGTTGATGGCTTCTATAGATTGGTTTTCTCTTACCAAACTGGATATCTGTGATGTCCATGCTCTCACATTTTGTTTTTCAGCAAACTTAATTGGATCCACGAAAAAAGAGCTTTCGCGAAAAGTTAACGAAATTCTTGACGAGTAACTTCTTTTTGACATTTTAACAAACAGCTTGTATGCATGCATTTCCACCAAATGAAATGATTTAGCTAAGCCAAAAACAGAGTTCATTAGACTTGGATTATACTGCATAAATACGTCTACTAAATGTAAAATGAAGAATTTATGCATATTCTCATAGCAGCACTGTCTATGGTGACAAACCTCAAGACTAAAATAAGACAAAAAAAACTTTGGCAGACAGATCTACTAGAGTGAGGGCGGTAAGCATTAGTCTAGGTGCCCACACCAATATTATTTAAAGTTTTAGCATTAATTATTTATTTCTCGAATTATTTTTCAAAACCCATACTAAAACACCAACTAATATGGAAACGTGTTAATTTTACTTGTATTCCATTCAATTTTCACTGACGAGTAGACGTCTGTTTGACATTTTAGCAAACACCTTGTATGCATTTTCACCGATTGAATTTATTTCTCATTCGCCTACTTATCTGATGAGGATAAAGAGAGGATCGATGCAGATTTTTTCAAGTAGATCCTGGATCCTGTTGGTATTCTAGTAATGTTTCTCTTTGTTTTTTTTTCAATGATCATAAAAGCACAATCTCAGCAGTAGCTATACATGTTAAAATCTTTAGTGTCACATCTAGTAGACTGCTGCCGCCAGGTGATCAAAACAAAATGAGAAGTGGACTATAATTGCAAAATTTTCAGGGGTCCCTTCTAAGGTGACTCTGAGGTTATGTATCAAATCTTCCATTTCCCATATAGGCATAAATTGGCGTCTATGTGTATGCAATCCATAAATTGGTAAACCTTGTGAGAGAAGTCATGGTTGCATCAGTTTTCTCCGAGATTTTTCGTCTTCCATGCATTTCAGTTGATATTTTGTGGCTTCAATCAGCGGCGGATCCTACATATATGTAAGTTCTGGATGCAAGTTCAACAACCACCACCTCTGACTTGAACTATGTGCATTAAATTTTGTAAAGCATGTTAATTAGATGCATGTGATCCATGCCTCTAACTCGAATTTAATATTTAGAGGTGCAACCACTTCTTTAAATTGTACATCAACCTCGAAGTATATCCTGTGATTTCTTGCTTAACCTTGAACTCTCAGTAATTATGAGTTTCATGGATTTTAGTCGAGATACTGAACTTTATTGGGTGCCTTTTGATGGACCAAATATGTCTGCCACAATACCTAACTATTTTAGAAAGAAAAAGGGCTGTCCAAGAATTGAATATTTGTTTGGTCCCTACAAGTAACGAATTCTTTCAGCACTCAACAAAAAGGACTAATCAGTAGCTTCCTTTCTTATATTGGCTCCTTTGTCATCAAAACCATAACATGTCAGTTGGTAAACTGGACACCATTATACAATATCATCCATGCTCTCTCCTATAGCCATTGTATTTGTGACTGGAAATTGCACCTATGATGTTGGATGCATAAATGGTTTTAAATATTTGTTTCTGAGATTCTGGTGTTATAATCGATTTTGTTCTTGTGTGCTATATTTGAGGCGGATATGGCTTGGATTAGAGTAAACTTGAAACCTTGTATACCATTGTTAAACTGAATTAGCTTCCTTATATTTTTAGATTTTGGTTACGGGATTTAGAGAAGTACGTTCAGAGCCAGAGCCATTATTTGATGACTGTAGGATGAGGTGTACTTACTACAAAATGATACCAGTTATTGTTACCTTACATATAACATTTCAAGTTATTTCGTATCATACAAAATCTTATAAACAACTTCCCTTTTTAGGAGTGGAAAGGAGGGACGCGAGGGTATTCTAATATCCTAAACACAATTAGTACAATCATTTGTCTCTTTTTCTTTCCTAATCAAGGTTTAAGTAATTATGCATGCAGTTACAAAGGGCGGATGGCACCAAAAATATCTAAGAACTAGTTTAGTAGTGAGCTCAAATTTTGCATGCCCTTGAAGTCTCGCAAGTGCAATTCTACAAGTTGTTAAACTTGTTCCTTGGTCTACTACTAATGATATTCAAGAAAATATGTATATTTATCCCTTCTATTGTTTCATATAGGATAGCTATGAACAGACTAAATGACTAGATTCTCTCGGAATGCTAGCTAAGCTAATCGTCTTAGTTCTCTTCAATTTAAATAAGCTTTTTGATTGATTCAGGCGCCGCTCCCCCTTCTCAGAATTAGAACCCCAATCCGATTGTTCTGGATGTTTCATATGCATTTATCTTTTCCCCAGTATATCCTTGTAAGGAATCATTTTGGATTCTTCTGCATAAATTCTATTATATGGGTCAGTTAAGAGGATTTCAGAGTTTCTTCTCTAATTGGATACTTGGTTCTGACCAGATACTATGAATGTGATGATTGTTTGTTTATATCTAATAGTTGCTTAGAGTTATAAAAGATATCCCTTCGTTTCAAGTTTGACTACTGAGAACATGAAAGGAAAAGGGATAAAAAGAGGGGTAGACAAAGCAAGAGAACAATCAGAAAAGATTTGGTTAAGCTCAACTATCCCTAAAAACAATCAGAAAGTACTATTACTCATATAATTTTTGTTACTACAGATGCCTAAGATAGGAAATAGGAGGAAACATATTTAACGGCGAAGGTAAGTGTTGACCGTTAATTTAAGTTTCAAAAGAGTAACACTTTATCTATCTGAGTAGTAATAGTACATGCAGTAGTCCTATAATATACAGTTCCTAATTTGTCTGTTTCCAAAACATCCAAGACAAATTACGATGACTCAGGTTACTCTCAAGTGAGCAAATGTGCTTATGTGCATTAAGAGACAGTTACATGTTTAAATGTGGATAAGATAACCTTTCAGTCTCTTTGACATTTGTGAAGCATGCATAGGTGAAGTTTGTCCCTATGCATCTCTCTTAAAAGCTAATGTAAGAAAACTAGGTGTCAGGTGGGATTCTATATCTTTGAAATACTGAAACCAACAACTATCATTTTTTAATTTTGAGTTGATGCTTATGTGCATTAAGAGACAGTTACGTATTTAAATGTGGATAAGATTTCAGTCTCTTTGTCATTTGCGAAGCATGCATAGGTGCAGTTTGTTTATGCATCTCTCTTAAAAGCTAATGTAAGAAAACTAGGTGTCAAGTGGGACAATATCCTTGAAATACTGAATCAACAACTATCATTTTTAAATTTTGAGTTGATAAGTTGAACTGTACTTTGACCATTAATTCAAACATGACTTGCTTGTTGCTGCAGCAAGCACCAGAAACTTAAGATTGAACTTTAAAAGCTATCAACACTTTGAATTGATTTCCACAAATATGCAAAGTCATCCTTCAAGCACAGGATATCTGTTTTATGGCCTAAGTATCATTGGCAATCACTTGTGAACATACTTTTTAAATTGAGGCTGAAAAAGGCTGCCACAGTTGTCACATCTGCTTGCATAATATATTCCACCAAATGGAAGTTAAAAAGTTGAAATATGTGTTGCATGCATGTATGTATGTATGAGATAAATAATTTAACTACTAGAAAGAGACTTTTCTGAAATTAACTTTAATGAAGAGTTACATGTCCTTTTAAGGTTTGATTAACCAAGAAACATATTTAGCATCTTCTAAAAAATGATTCTTGAATCCTAATCACCATTACAACTTCCTGTTTTGGATATCTCCCAACCATCAAACTCATCTACTCTATCTTCTCTTGCTGCTGCCTGCAAAGAATGGGGTTTCTTTCATGTTATCAATCATGGAATCTCCAATGATCTTTACAAAAAAATTAGGTGCCTCTCCAAACACCTTTTCAACCTCCCTTCTGAGACCAAACTAAAAGCAGGTCCTTACTCGTCTTTGAAAACTTATACTCCTCATTTCATTGCATCTCCATTCTTTGAAAGCCTTAAAGTGTCTGGACCAGACTTCTCTGGCTCTGCTAAGGGTTCTGCGGATACCCTTGCTAGTGAAGGGAATTCAGAATTCAGGTAATTCTATTTTAGAACATTAAGATTCTCCTTTCTCTAATGTCTCTGAGTTAATATAACTCTCTGATAAATGGAATTTCTTCTTAGTGAAATAGTGCAAGAATATGGAGGCAAAATGACAGAGTTAGCGAAAGTCATCCAGAAAACTCTCTTGATGAGTTTGGGAGAAGAACTTGGAATGAAGTATTATGTCTCAGAATTTGGTAGCTGCCATGGATACTTGAGGATAAATAACTACTCGTCCCCGGATAGTTTAGAACAGGAAGTTGAAGGCCTCGGTATGCACACTGATATGAGCTGCATAACAATTGTCTATCAAGATGAATTAGGTGGCCTCCAAGTAAGATCAAAGGATGGGAAGTGGGTGGATATTTTGCCATGTGAAGGAACTCTTGTGGTAAATATTGGTGACATGCTGCAAGCTTGGAGCAATGACAAACTACGATCCTCTGAGCACCGTGTCATTCTGAAGAAGCCGGTGAACCGCTTTTCTTTAGTTTTCTTTTGGTGCTTTGAGGATGAGAAGGTGATCTTGGCACCTGATGAAGTAGTTGGTGAAGAAAATTCAAGACTCTACAAGTCATTTGTTTGCTCTGACTATTTAAACTTTAGAGTGACAAATGAGAAAGGTAAATTCGAGAAAGTTGGTTTTACAGTTAAGGATTTTGTTGGGATTGGATCCAAGTTAAAGTAGAAGCATGGTTGTCATTCTTTGAGTAGTTAGTTTATAAGCTTGTATATCTCCTCATGTTCCATCATTGCAACATAGGTATCTAGGAGTTCTGTTTGTGTGAAACTTTTTTTTATATAATACTATGTTTTGTTATATGATGATATTGTTTGCAAGTTACTTGTAAGTGCATTCAGTGAATGATAAGAAGATGTATACAGAAAGGTTTTGACTTGACATGGCTAATAACTGAATGCATGTCTAGTTGGAAGTCCAACTTCCAACTCATATTTCCATTAAAATTCTATGCTTCCCCACTTGGCATGTTTGGTTTTATTAATTATCTACATATGCAAAGGGCACATTCTAGAAGCAGAATAAATGATCAGTTAATTCCTTATTTTTCTGAAATCTAAATAACTGTCCCTGAGGAGAGATGGTCAAGCCATACTCTCATGCCTATCCAGGATTCAATCTTGAAAGGTTCTTAGCATGGGACTCATTGTACTTTCGAAATCATGGCTTCAGAACTTATTATTTGTTGAGATTTTAGTGGTTTTCTCTTCTATCTCTTTATATATATAAAATATGTACATATATGTGTGTTTATTCTGTTTAGGGAAATACTGGATTTCAGTTGAACTCATTAAATATAGGCTCCACCTACCTCTGGCCGCCCAAAAGAGCTCAAGAAGATCCAGAAAAGTAAGCAAATCCTACCTAAAGCTTTTCTTTTTGCTGATAGGATATAAAGAATGAATTAATCATCTTTCCAAAGATTACAGGACCAAAAGTTGGTTATCATTCTACCATTTGGAACTTTGTCCTCTAGTGGTAAGTTAACACTGTATAAACATCTATCTGTTTTATAGCATGATGTTGATATGCACCAGAAAAAAAAAAGAACCTTTACTGCAACTTAGAACATAACCTGTATAAGCATTCTGTAAAAAGTCATATCATATGCTTTAATAGTGGATTAACTGTGTCGATTCGACGAATCATGAGGGGGGATCTAGAAAGTAAAAGTAGATTTTGTTTGTCTTAATACTATGGTAACAAGATGTAGTTGCATTACTATTATAATGAAGCCATAAAGTTGTGTACTGTTTTGTTATGGTCAGCACATTGTTAATAAAATACTCCAACTAGAATGATCAATTTGTCACCAGTCAACTGTCCAAAAAGCTACTTTAATCAATTTGTTTATTTTAATGGGATGATGATTGTTTCTCACATGGGTTTGCTTAGGTATCCTAATGAATTCAAATACAAAAATCACCACTGATTCTTTCTTTCTTTGGCTGGACTTTTGTGGGCTTTACCTTTTTTTTCCAAAAGGTGTGTCTGAGACTAATTCAGCTACCCCTTAGATTTGGCTATCTGTGAGATGTCTTATCTCCAAAAGACTCAGTTTTTTTCTGATGTTGGAAGTGGAACTATACTTTGATGCAGTTTAAATCTATGTATCTACATTGTTGATGACCTTTTTTTTTGTTGCAAAAGTCAATTCTTTTTAAATAATTAAGGGAGTCAAATGGCATGTGTTTGTGTAGTTATGGTAATGTCAATCATAATGGAAATCTCAAATCTAGAGGAAGACTTACATTATATTTCAAGTAGGGAAATGTTGGAAGCATGGGCAAAGTGATGCTGGAGAATGTCCATGTTAGAATCCAGTTGGAATAGATAAGCATATTTATGTTCTTACTAGTAACAACCATTTTGTTTTCTCAATATGTGTGGGTTTTAGTGCACTTCCATTTTGTGGTCGGGCCCTTCCGCGGACCCTCTGTATATATCAGAAGCTTTAGTGCATTGGGTTGCCCTTTAATGTGTGGTTTTTTTCCGCTCAAACCTCCACCTCAAGGTGTGTTGTGAGCAAGAGTGAGTGCCTTCATTTTCGGAGGTTTTGAGTTTTATGGGTTCAAACTTTTTTAAGTTTATTAGCATTGAACTTATAAAAATTATAAAATTATGGCTCTAACTTTTTACAATTACAATTTCAGTGAATTCTTATACATAGATATTCTACTATCATAAATATTAAATTTAGATGAACTTGGCGATATTAGGCTGCATTTGCCCCAGCTCAAAGTGACTCTTAACATAGTAAATACTTGTCAACTTTGGCCAAGCACTTATGCTTTCTCCAAAAATCTTCACATGTAAAACGAACATCTATTTTTAGTACTCACCGATCTCTACCTCGAATAAAGTATCGCATGTCTCATCGTTAAGGCTTGATGTTAACTACCACCTGATTAGTGTTGGCATTTAGGCTCACTTTTCACCGGCCTGCTCAAATTGCTCATCAAATACGAGCTGAAACTTGAAAGAGTGATTTTAAATAGGGATAACCGTATAGAATGACAAACTAAACCAATACCTATGACTAGATATTGACTTTGATACACGTACGCTCCTCAAGAAATAATATAAAATCACAATTTCATTATTGTACCTTTTAACAAAAAAAAATAAATGATTTGAAAAATGAAAATAGTTAATAATAATGATAAAATAGGAATTTAGTGATTATATAAACCATGCGACATCTATTTTTATCATATTTGAAGTTTCATTCACATTTATGGAATGACTTTATCACCTGGAAATTTTCTTTAAACATTAGAATACAATACCATAATAATCGTAATAAAAAAAATATAGGGAAAAGGGTCAAATATGCCCCTAAACTATTCAAAAAGGTCTAGATATACCCTCCGTTTAAAGTTTGGTTCACTGATGCCCTCGCCGTCCAACTTTTGGTCCAAATATGCCCTTATGGGCGTTAGTTGCCATGTTGGACATATCCAACTCATTTTTTATTTCTTTAAATGCCACATGGAATTGCCATGTCATTTTGGCCTTACCACATAACATTTATATGAAAATGGAAAGATATTCATTCGGACTCATAAACATCTAATCCAACCCCCTTTTAAATAAATTATCCGACCAATTTTCAACAATTTTATTTAATTTTTATTTTTTTTGATAAATTTCGAAAATGAGTAATTGATTAATAAAAAAAATAGCAAAATATGAAAAAAGTATAAAATTAACGCCAAAAATTCATAAATAATTATAGTAATCTTAAATTCAATTTAAACACTTTTTTTAAATTTTTTTATTTTTTTCGATAAATCCCGAAATGAGTAATTGATTAATAAAAAGTATGAAAAATATAAAATTAATGCCAAAAAATTAAAAAATAAATATAGTAACCTTACATTCAACAATTTCAACATTTTTTAAATTTTTAATTTTTTCGACAAATCCCAAAAATGAGTTTATTAACAAAAAATATAAATTTACGCAAAAAATTGAGAAATAAAAAATATCAAAATATGAAAAAATATATAAAATAAAAAAAATTGTTGAAATTATTGAATTTAAGTTTACTATATTTATTTGTGAGTTTTGACGTATATTTTTTTTTCTTCATATTTTCCCTTTTTATTAAAAAATTACTCATTTTCGGGATTTGCCGAAAAATATAAAAATTTTAAAAAAAATTGTAGATTGAAATCTTACTGTATTTATTTGTGAACTTTTGGCGTTAATTTATATTTTTTTTCATAAATTTATATTTTTTTTCATACTTTTCATATTTTTTATTAATCAATTACTCATTTTCGAGATTTATCGAAAAATAAAAAAAAATAAAAAAAAATTGAAATGTTAGATTTAAGGTTACTATATTAATTTGTGAATTTTATATTTCTTCATATTTTTTATTAATCAATTACTCATTTTTGGGTCGGATTAGGTGTTTATGAGTCTGAATAACTTTCCACTTTCATATAAATGTTATGTGGTAAGGCCAAAATGACATGATAATTCCATGTGGCATTTAGAAAAATGAAAAATGAGTTGGATATGTCCAACATGACAACTAACGCTCATAAGAGCATATTTGGACCAAAAGTTGGACGGCGAGGGCATCAGTGAACCAAACTTTAAACGGAGGGTATATCTAGACCTTTTCGAATAGTTTAGGAGCATATTTGATCCTTTTCCCAAAAATATATGAAGACATCATCAAATTAAAGTTGTCTTATATTTGCATAAAGACACCTTAATTTTCAAAGTGTTCTATCATCCCATAAAACTATTTAATATTTTTGTAAATGTTAAATAGAAGAGTCCAAATGACAAATTGGTAAGTAGAAGAGCTTAGAATATAAATTGATATAAGTATAAGAGTTCACCAGACCATTTCGCCAAACCTTTTCGAAGTCTATTACTCAATGATCATTCAACTATTTTATTTTAATGATTAGGGACGACGTAAGATGATGAAATCGACAAAAGAGAGCACCAACATTGATTTTGATATGGAAAAAACCATGAAATCGAAAAATTAGGACTACCAACTGCTATTTTGAGATTAAATTTTGGGGAAGATGACATAAATTAATTAAATCATTAATAATTAAGAAAGAAAATGACACGTGACACTTTGAAACTGGTCCATGGCAGTGAAAACACTATATGACACGCCTCATGTGCGTGGTAACAGCTCAGACGAGGGAATGTATCAAAATGGTTCATTTACAAAAATATTAAATAGTTCCGTAGGGTGATAGTACACTTTGAAAGTTAAGATATCTTTATACTAAACTATTTGAAACTTCGTATTAAAAAATAAAGTTTTTTTATGATAACATCCGAAGCAATATATTGAGAACACATGGCTAATATATCTTATTAACTTGAATTGATTGTCACATTATTATATTGTAATTACTCTATGAAGTCAGAGAGAATAATACATTGAAATAATTATTATGAGAAGAAAAAAAGAAGATAACACTAAAAATTTTCTAATGTATGCATATATAGTTAAGACTTTAAATTAAAGTTTGGTATGTCGATAATGTTTCCTGGGATATTATATTTTTTATCTCTCATTTTATTTTATTCTTAATCGATCAGGTTATTATAGATATAAATATTTGTTTATATCAACCTAATATATTGAAGTGTATGAAGATGGATGACATTCAACTTAATATATTAAGTGTATTAAGATGGATCACATTCATTGTTGATGTTACATAAGTTTATGATATTCTATTATTGATGTAAATAGTAAAAGTAGTCTGTAATTGTAATTGGAGAGCATATATAAACAATTTTTTTGATATGATTCGAAAATTCGATCTCAGACTCCAAGTTAAATTATTTTATTTCTTATGTTGTATTTTTATTGTAAACTAAAATGACATGTTATTTGT